TATCTGTTATAATCAAACACCTCTGCCTTGGTCTTTATCTTTGTCCCCAGACTCTATCTTATAGAATCTTTTCCTGTCTCAAGAGGCTGATAAGAAACAGTTTTCTTTTCTTTTCTTTTTTTGAAACAATTTTATTTTCTAACCAAACAACTTGGGGCTGCTTGCCAACAGATTCCCCCCACTACCATTTTTTTTTTAAATAACATAGCTCTCTTTTTAAAAAAAGATTCTTTCTATACACATTTAGAACTTTACTATACATATTTAAAGTTTTTTTTCCCCCCTTGGGAATAATTTTCCCCTCTGTGCACCTTTTTATTAATGTTGTTGACTACTTTGGGTGCTTATTATACCCATGTAACCAACTAGTGGGTGGAAAAAATCCCAATATTTAGAATTGTGGGTATATCATGCCCCATTTGGAATTAAGGTCTAACTTATCTATATTAACCAACTTTTTAAGAACTCATATTGCTTTAGATGTATCAAGCGTACTAAAAAAGTACTTAGAATTTTTTTTTGCACCGTCTAAATCTCCTCTTGGCACCCTGTTATAGAGAGAAATGGCACCACAGGAGTTGGCTGTTTCTAGGATTTTAATATCTCACCTTTGTCTCTTCAAGTGCCTTGAGTAAATGTTCTATGGAGTGGAAAATCTAGAAGAGAACACTACTATTTGCTGGTAGTATGATTTGGTTCTGTCAAAAGCACTACAGAGAGTACCTCAAGTTTATGAATGCAAAGTTCTCACACAAAGACCTAACACCCAATTTTCCACAGATTCGACTAATTTACAGAGCTTAACAACAGTGCCTCAATTTCTTACTGGAAGAATTAACTATCTATGGCCCATTACCCACCTTTGCAGAGTTAGAAAGTCGAAGACTGTAGTAGACAAGTGAATACTACAAGTATGTGTGTGCATTTCCCACTAGTGACAAGAGACTAACCCACCAAAAGCACACATTTTCATCTCCAATAAAGAGAGAGCTAACTCTTGTCACAGGGGATCTCTGCATATATTCAACTTTGAGCATGGGGCAAATGGACTGAAACTTCCTGGAATGTGGGAAACAGAGCAGGTTTGGCTGGTGCACAAACCAGGGTTTGTAGCTCTAACTAGACATTTACTTTCTGGTATGTCCAGATCTTCTATAAATTGTGGAGGCTGCAAGCTGGGAGGGCTTGAACCAGCTTTCTGAAGAGGATGTCAGCCACTCCTTACATTGCACAGAGAGGGACTTTTACTTCAACTGAAATAGTTGGCCAGAAGGCCCTGACATATTGCCTTATCTCACAAACCAAAGTTGGAATAACGCAAGTACTTAAAATTCATCTTCCCTTGGTGAACAGATATGATTCCCTTATGATGTTCTACTTTGGGTCTAGTATGAGGATTTGTGTATAAATATAGAATGCCACCCATCTCTAGGCCTGCCCTGGAAATCAGCTCATCACACAGTCCATGTCCTAGTCCTACAATGCAGACGTGTCCCCTTAGGTTCTACTGAAAGGAGTATGTTAGTCCATCAGCCACAGGAGAGGCCTGGCAGGACAGTCAAAGATAAATGCTCTGAGCCAACAATAATCACAGTCCTCTGCAGACAAAGTCAACTATTGTTCCCAGAATCATTTTGAGCCGCTCAAAGGAACAAAGACTTCAGTGGAAATTCCAGACTTTAACTCAATACATAGCAGAGATGAATTTAGTCTAGAAATTTTAGTATCTTGCTGTCACATATATTGATATTGTAATGATCCCGTAGAAATGTCATGTTAATTGACTTCATGATGATCCTGACTGGTGAAAAGAGGGGGACAACTGAGGCAGTCACTTAAAGTTATCAATTAAAAAGCAATCATTTTGTTTATGAAGATACTTATAAACAGACACGTGAAAGGCAAGAACAGATAAAAGCCTGGCTGTGCACAGAGGTTCTACCTGAATTAAAATTAACAGGTGGTCTGAAAAGTGGTATAAATATAGGCACTGAATTTGAAGCAATTTTAGATGCTGATAGATGTCATGCCCACAGTTCTGAAACCCTCTCCTAAGTTTGCGGAGAGACACCGGGACCCCTAGCGCTGAGAAGTGGCATCCCCCCCCACTCCAGTGGCTGCAGATTGACGGGTACCATCACTCACTAAGGCAGGCCCTGCCCATGCCAGGTGCCAGTCTCCAGAGCTTTGCCAAGAAGTTCATTACTGAACAGTCACATACCAGAGCCATTCTGTGGGGGTGGAGTGGGGAATGGGATCAAACGGGGGGGGGGGAGGGATGTGCACAGGACTATGGTGATGGCACACGGGTGACTTGGTGATGGGAAACCCACGGGGATTACAATTGAGATGAAAAAAAATGCACAAAATGATGTAAAAATAAACTATTATATTTATTAAATAAATAAATAAATTTTTAAAAAAGAAGTTCATTACCCTCCTCTTTACCACCAACTGAATTGTATGTTTGCAATGCAGATTCCTGCCAATAAATGTATATTGTGTTTCTATGCTTTTGACGTGAATGTGAAGTGAAAGCTTCCTGCGTATGAAAGTTAGTCCTCTAGCGATCCCCAACATGATACAACCTATGGAATCTGACTTTCATGAACACTGGCTATTCCACCAACAGGGGCTTTAGGGTTTATAGATAGGGGTTTATATTAAATATTGAATTGTGGATAAAGTCTTTCAAAACTAACTGTAGTTTACCTTGTAAGTGATTCTAAGCAGTAACAGCAACAACAAAAGGGATCAATTACATCCTCAGCATCTCCTGATTTGGTGATGGCAAATGGATGAAGTGGTGGTGAGAAGTCCACGGAGATTATAATTGATACGAAAAATGATGTTAAATTTATATATAAATTTAAAAAAAGATCTCCTGAATTGTAAATATACCAATCATACTGCCAAGAAAAACAGGAAGAGTTTTTCTGTGCAATAAATTCAGCTGCAAGAAAACAAGAGAACCTAGCCTTTATTGTCTTATGCCACTTAGAATTTAAGCTTGTGCAAGGGACTATTCCTGGTTCTTAGAGTGGCATTAAAATGCAGGCTTTTGTCAAAGCATGGGCAGCTTAGAATCTCTACTGAACTCACACAGGATGGCCCACATTTGGTATTTATACCACATGTCTAATCTGTATGTATTTCTACCTAAATGAACAGCATTGTGAATGCCAGAAACCTAGAGCTGTCCAGACCGTTTTTCCCTTTGTCTCTAGTTCTTTTCAATCTACAAATCATAATAGCCTGTTGATGTTAATTTACCTTGAATGTACCCACTTCTTTCCATCACAGCACCTCCATAATTCAGGCTCTCGTAATACACAACTAAATTCCTGAAGTCTCCTAACTGGTCCCATGACTTTAGTATTATTCCCTCTAACACCATTCTTTGCACTGCTGCTGGTGTGGTCTTTCTGAAATCTCAGGAGACCCCACTGTTTAGTAACCTTTAACTTGGCCTCTCTACTGTGCACACAGATGAGAGGCCTATCCTCTCATCATCACAGATTACTCCAGCAAAATGAACTAATAGCAGTTCCCAAATGCCATTTCTTCTAACTTTTTCTTCTCTCTTCAAGCTTAGTCTCTGTTATTATTGGTCTCTGTTATTATGTGCCGGGAAGGCCTTTCCCCCACTTCCAGTCCCCAAGGAATGAGATGGGAATAAAGAAAGGGCCATAATTGAAACTAGAAATGGGTGAGCATGAATGCACATTTTGATGGCAAGATTAAAAATTTTGCCACCCAGAGGACAGTGGCAAAAAAAATATTAAGAAGAGAAAAGATGAGAAAAAAGAAAGGAAAAAAGAGCCCTTTGAATTTAGGAAAAAGCACAGTGCAGAGGCCACCCAGATAAATCCACTGCCAGGAAGAAACTGGACCAAGCTGGCTGTCACCCACCACTCAATTATTCAATTATCAATTACTGCTCAAATAGCTCCACCCAATTTGCATGTCATTGCACTAATAGAAACTTGACTGACTTTTAACCTGGTTTGCTTTGGAGATGTGAATTAGACTTTACAGCCTGTTCTATACTTACGTAGCCACACCTGCCAGCTCCAGACATCTTAGGTCCTGTTTCCCTGAGATGCTGTCCTTAGGCCCCAGGAAACACCCCATTATCCCAACTGTTCTGGGTGTCCCTTCCTCTTTCACAACATCCTCTAAAACTACTCGTGAGACTCCATAAGGAATAGAGTTTCAGGGGAGAACTCAGGGAATGGTGTTATTGCATGATGTACTTTTTATTTTTCTATACTTGAATTTGTTATAGTACATGTGTTTAACTAATCTCCATATATATTTTTAATTACATTTCATATTATCTCCTTCAAAGATACTGATTCTATGAGGAAAGGTCCAGGATTCTGATCTTACAAAGGCCTGCACAGACTCCATTAATGAGTCAGTTTTGAGGACTATGGTTGAAATGGTTGTTTCCAATATAATAATGCATTGACATTTTTTTTTTTAAGAAAAGCTCCAACTCTATTATACAACCCTTTTTTTTATTATTTCCTTTTATGTTTTAATAGTTTAATTCAGTACAAATATACATTCTCTAAGTTTATTAGATTTGAATTATCTCTAAGGATTACAAGAGCCTGACAGCCATTTTAACAGTTAGCTACATTTTACTAAAGGGTCTAGGAAATAATCATTGTAAAGCTTGTGTTCATGAAGTAAATTTCATAAACCATTAAAAATTCAACAACTGCAAATGTCAGGATTTCTTCAATTCTAACTTTTAACACTAACATTACTATCATTTGATTAGCTTTTAAAACATTAGCTATCCTTAAAATACAAAGTAGAAAGTTATTACAAATATTAACATTGGTGTGTGTATATATATATGTATATATGTATATATACACACACACACACATATCTATTTCACTAAAATTTTTGAAGTTTTTGACTTTGGAAAAGTATAAAGATGCAAAGGTTTTTTATAATTAACTTTTGAAATTATCTATAGTACTCTATAATTCAGACATCAAAGCATCTATTTCTTTAAACTTATCAGTTATATTTTCAATACATTCTCCAGCTTTTAACGTCATCCCATCAATCACAAGACAGTTCTCTTCACAGTGGTTTTCCAATGGGCTGCCTACCGGAGCTTCAGGAGCACATTTAGGTAACTGTGAAAATAACCACACAATATATCAGAACTTCACCAAATTTACTTGAAAATCAGGTTTACTTACTTTGAACAGAATGTAGTTGCTAATTCTTCAAACATAGCAATTATAAAGAGTATTCTGTTATGTTATGTCAAATAATGATCCCTAAATAAAGCATAATATATCATAAATGTTTTTTTTTAATAGTTACTTATTATTTTGGTTCTGTCTCTATTTTCCAACTATACATGTACTTTATTTTAATTTTATGATTTGGAAAAATGTGATCACTTGATTGTGACTTTTCAATATTTATTCCCAAAATTAGTATTATAGGGAATATAATTTCAAATTGTGTCAGTCACATTTTCTGTAATCATCTTATAAACATCTGCATTGCATATGAATAATAGCTTACTCTAGCTTAATGGGAAAGGACCCTGGTAAAAAACTGCAAGTTTCTAGTTTCATTAAAGTTGATATTAATTTCCCATTAAAAAAAAAGAGAATAGGGCCCTCCCTGGTGGCGCAGCCGGTTAAAGCACAGCACAAAGAAGCTTAAGCCACTTCCGCATGAGTTCGATCCCAGCTTGCCCTGGAGGAGATCCACATGGCGTGGCAGACCTCTCCTGACCTGCCCGCTGCTCCCCTCAGCAGTGTACTTCGTTGATCTGCCTGTTCTGCTCTCCACTCTGTCTCTGGTGAATCCTCTCACCCTCCGCATCTCTGGCCTGTACCCCAGTTCTATACAAATAAATAAATAAATAAATCTTAAAAAAAAAAAAGAGAGAGAATATACATGTAGTTTATACAAGTATTTTCACTCATCAAAAAATGTGTCTACTAATACAAACAATTATTCTGTAAATTGTCTTATTTGTATATGCATTATCTGGTTTGTGAATTATTCAGATACATTTTTTTTCATAGGGGACTCATAATTTTCATCTATTAATTGGAGGTTCTTCACACTATAGTAGCTAGTATTACAACTATACTTAGGGAAATCTATTCAGATAATTTTATAAAAATCTGAAATTAATTCTCTCCCACTGTTTGCTACATCAGGGTATGTCAATCAGTATTAATATAACTAAAGAAGAACAAAATTAAGATGGTGACCATACTGGGGGGAAAAAAAACACAAAGTATTTCAATAACAAAGAGAAATAAACTCTGATTATCCATGTGTTTATACTTTTTTCATGTTGTACTAGCCTAAATGTTTGAGGGTAATCAACTTGAAACCTCCTATGTAAAATAAATGACAACATCATCAAAATGACAACTTTGAAAATAAGTCAAACAATATCTGCTCAGCGAATAAACATGCTCAGGACTTTAAAACTATCAGGTGTAGTCTTTTCAATGTATTTAGTTCTACTAGGTCACTTTCTCCTACAAACAAAACATATCTCCAGTTTTTAGTGGAGTTAACTTCAGAAGCATGTAAATTTTTCCTACTAACTAGAAAAAGAAAGGGAAAAAAAATTCCTGAGGCAATCATTTTTTACTTTAAACTGGAAATTACTACAGCTTTGATAGTTGGTTTCACTGCTATTCCCCTCATTTTAAAGCGAACAAGGCTCTAAATATCCTGAGCCTGGTGTGAATGCCAGACGTACAAAACTCAGTGTGCAGTGGCTTATGAACCAGTCAGCAGGAGGCACTCACCTGCCTGCCAGCAAGTTAAAGTGGTTAATTTTTACAATTCCTAAATGCCTTTTGAAAGCGTAAAATATTACAAGAATCTGAGACAAAAGGCAAGCTCCTTCCTGGTGATGTATTAAAACTATGTATTTTACCTCAAGAAATAAAAAATCAGAAGTAATTTTCTGTTCTATCATGTTACTAGTTATAATGGTAAAGTAGAAGCCAATTCTGTGGCTCTAAAAGCTCCAGGATACCTCTATAAAAATCAACCTGGCTGAATTTTTGAAAAGACAAACTGCAACAACTGAAAAAATATTGCACAAAACCATATGGTGTTCAAACAAAACATGCAATTGCAACAAAAGAATAATTATATACTAACTATATTTATATAAGATATATGTCTATAGATCTTGTTCTTAAAAGGTTTTTTTTTTTAAATAAAACAAGTTTTTTTTTTTAAACAACAGGAGTGGTGGAAAAACTGCACGTACTGGGCCCATGCAAACTGAGGTACAAGCTGGTATCCCTGGTGCTGATTCAAAAACTATCATGTTTTTCAACTCAGTAAGAGTTTTTAACTTTTTATTTTCTTCTTTTACACTGAGCTCCTCCTTCACTGTAAATTTTGTTCATTTTCTTGATTTCCAACTCAATAAAAGTGGTGCTAAGATCCCCTTTATATTCTTATCGAAGATCTGAAGTTATGCAACTGAGAGCAATCATGCACCCTCTGACAAAGCGTGTAACCACTGCACCAATCACAAACCACCTCTTTCTGTATCTGAAAACAGACAGACATGGGGACAGGTCGTTTCTCAAAGTGTGAGAATGTGGGAAGAGATAAAGTAAGAATATCTTTGTATTTATTTTCTCCAGTGCCTGCCATTGCCAGCTCTCTTCCATAATAGCTAACCTCAGTTGTCACTCCACACAATAGTTCTGGTTTGTTTTATTTTGCCCTCAAATCAATCCTCTGAAACAAGTGATAAGCACCTCTGCCAGGTGACACAACCCTCGAGGGCAGCAGCAGGACTGGGACACAGACATTAGATTCCAGTCACTGCTCCAAGCCTCCTTGCACCCTTATATCTAGGTGTGTGCATGAGTGGGACAGACCTTTAGGGATATATGACTGGTGCCATTTTTCTTTCTTTTTTTTTTTTTTAAAGATTTATTTATTTGTGCTTACAGAACTGGGGTATAGGCCAGAGGCTCAGGGGCGGCGAGAGGCTTCACCAAAGACAGAGTGGGAAGCAGAACATGCAGAGCGATGAAGTACACTGCTGAGGGGAGCAGCGGGCGGGTCAGGAGAGGTCTGCCACGCCATGTGGTCACCTCCGGGGCAGGCGGGGATCGAACTTATGCAGAAGTGGCTTTAACTTCTTAGTGCTGTGCTTTAACCCGCTGCGCCACCAGGGAGGGCCGCCATTTTTCTTTTAAACTATTTAGGGAACAGCTGTACTGCCATCTGCTTAAGACTTATTTTCTCATACCTACCACACTGATGTTCCTACCAACTGGTATTAATGACCTGGATTTTGACCTCCCATTTTGTTGTGACAGAAACTTTGTTGCCTCTTTGTGGTTGGAAATGTGATGAGGGACACAACAGTTGTGGAGCAGGTTAGGAAGGCTACTCGAGCAGAGGTTCTTGTGTCATGTATTGAAAGGGTACAGGCTAGTAATAGCAGATCTTGTGACAGTGGTAGTATCATGGTCTGGAAAGTGGGATGGAATGGGGGATAAAGTTTTACAAGGAACAGAGAAGGGAGCTTTGTGACCATATGCAAGACACTCATGCCATCAAAGTATATGTGTTGATATTAGTATGTGCATCACAGGCAGTTATCCTGATGCCACCATGGAGTTAGTCACATAATGGATCAACTGTGGCCTATGCCTGCCCCTGGCCTCCCCTGTGGTATGAGCTATTGTCTGTAGGTCTACGATTTACAGATAGCAAATAGGTTACAGTCACCCATAAGTGACCAGCTCATAGGAAACCACACCATTTGATGAAAAGAGATGTGGAGTTGATATGCTGAGTACTGATAAGGAAAGCACATATGGCTTTTCTCAACTCAGCAGTTAGCCAAAAGAAAACAAAAATTGACATGAATGACGAAACATGTTCCAGTGAAAAATTCTATGTTAATAATGATGTTTGGCCTTACAGAGGTTGTTACTGTGGGTGAGCCAGACAAGACAGCTATTCCTACAAACTGCTCTTGAGCTGGCCCCTTCTCCAAGCTAGAAAGATTGGCAACAGCAAAAAGGTCCACCTGCAGTGACAACCTGAGAACCATAGTGAGCCTCCCTTTGCCTTTTCTTCATTCCAACTCCAAGGATTTAAAAAAAAAAAAACAAACCAAGAAATACCTTTGCTCAAACACAGGTATTTTTTCAAAAACTGATAGATGCACTCTGATTTCTAACAGGCTACTACTTAATTATTCATCTGATGATAACCAACGCTAAAGTTTCGAAGTAAAGTAAGTTTTCCATATAATTAAAAAGTACATTCAGGAACAATTTCTGTCATTTAAAGAACTTGAAGTTTCTATTTAGGCCTGATAACAACTATCAACACTACCTTTTCTTCCATGTTTATTTCCTCTCCACATTCCTCTTCATATCCATCAGGTGTTGTGGGCTCTAATGCTTGCTGTAGCATTTGTTCCAGCTCTTTAAGTAAAATTTCCGTCTCAGAGACAACTAAGGAGACATCATTAATACAGTATAAAAATAGTACATTTTAATTATTTTAATCTAATTCATAATGTGAACCATCCAGAAAGAAGGTATCTGCTAAATGTTACAAAATAAAAACTAAATATTTTGGGGAAAAAAATCATATAATTTTCAACAGCCTCTTTTATGCAAAATTATTATGGATTTTCATGTCAATCTTTTACAGTTATCCCTTGGAAAATGTAAGAGACATTCCCTTTATATATTCACCATTCCCTGAAATAGCAAAACTGACTAGTTATTTTCATGTTTTTTTTTAAAATCAGAATCCAAGGACATCAAATTATGTTGTTTCTAAACCAGGGGTGAGAAAATTTTATCTCTAGAGGGACAGAGAATAAATATTCCAGGCTTTAGGACCATAAGTTCTCTAGCACCACTACTCAATTCTTCTGTTAGAGGGAAACCTTAGGCATGCATATAAACAAATGAGAGTAGCTACGTTCTACTAAAATTAAGCCATAAATGATTAAAACTATTGTTTAAGACTGGCAGTTTTGTAAAGACGCTAATACAGGCTAGTCTATTGTTAATCCAAATAGCAACACGTCTTAATTGTACAACCTGACTTTTAAAACATTAACACATATTCAGGAAAGATACTGTTTGTGTAACTGAGACAAAATAGCCTTCCCCACCAAAGAAATTAATGGATGTTGTAACTCCATAGACTCAACTACTGACTAACAATATGTAACTGAGTTCCCATTTTCAATAAAAGAAATTATGTTCATTTGTTACAGGCTCTTGATGAAATAAAGATCAATGAGAGGCCTTCTATCTTGAACAGAGACAGATGTAGCATCAGAAACGTCCTTTCAAAGGTACCATGATTCAAAAAGAAAAGGCCATGAATATATGCCCATCATCTTCAATTCTGGTTTCAAAACCTGGCAAAGCACCTCCTATTGTATGCCATTCATTGGCAGGTCACCAAAACCACACTAAGTAAAGCTACAGAGAGTTCATAGAACATGAAAAGAAGCTCAAGTAGTACATATTCTTTAGAGCTGAAATATTAATGAAGACGGAAACAAGATACTTTTAGTGATGATACTAATTTTTTTATTTAATATGTGGAACATATTTAAAATTTTTCTGACCAATAATGTTTTGAAAGAGTGAATACAACATGTACATCCACTAACACAGACACATCCAAGGACACGCACAGCCTAAGTATAGGAAAGGTAAAAACATTATTGATGTAAAAAGTTTTATTCTCTATTCCCTACAGTTCAAAAGAATTAATATTCTTTTCCACATTCTTATTATTTCTTTGTTGATAATTTTCTCTTACCTATTACTCATAAAAAGGACATTTTAAAATTCTGCTAAAAGGGGACATAAGGTAGGGTGGTGGCCCAAAGGACTATGGTAGAGGGTTATTGGTGTTTAAGTGGTTGATGTGATGTGAATATGTACATTTAAACAGGTGTAAACCCACATCCCTAAAGCAATGTTATAAATTAACATTATCTCAAAAGTTAAATTAATAAAATAAAAATTCTGCTAAAACATTTTTTTATTAAATAATAGTGTTAAAATAGGGAAGTTGTAAGAAAGGTTTTCTTGGTTACTGCTTTAGTACTAAAAAATCAGTCTTTAAATTTTTCACATAACAACTTTGCTTATAAAAAATATTTTTCTGTCTATATTTACTGCTTTCCCCAAGTATTTCACATACAATTAACAGACATTTAATTTGTCTACTAGGGGCCAGGGACTGAAGAAAATAGGCAGAGACCAATGAGCCTTCTGGCCATCTCTTCCTATGAAACACTTTCTAGTTTCTATGAAACACTTTCTAGTTTCTCTCTGTAAAGCACTTCTCTCAAAACAGTTTGAAATTTTCTTTATTATGTCACCCCCCACCTTAGAACCAGTTCCTATACTTAATAAACAAAACTATAGCTTTTGCAAAAACTGGTATATTAGTTGTATCCCACATACATCTGTGTTTATGGTAATTGCTAAAGTCTAAGAACATGGAGTGTGAACACTTACATTCTAGAACAGTGACATTCAAATTCTGATGGGTGTAAAAATCACCTGAAGAATTTATCAAAATTATGCATACAACCCCATATCTACTGACTTGGGATTTTCTGGAGGAATGTATATTTTGTTAACGAAGTTAACCTTGGCTATGGCAGATTTCTCACTCAGTAGCCTATTACTTAATAGACAACTACTTAGTTTCTCCACACTGATTTGCCAGTCTCACTCACAAATATTTTACAAAGACTACTTTACAAATAGTCTACAGAAATTGACACTGACATTTAATGCACTGCTGAGAAGGTGAATATGGAGCTATACTGTAAAGGGAAAAATGTACACAAATAGCTTTATATTTCTAAGGTGAGGCTAAAATACAATGTTTTTGATAATGAATGTCATTGCCAAATGGCTTTGTAGGTTCTCTATTTTTAAGTGTTTTGAAAAATATATATATATGTATATATATACATATATATATACATATACATATGTGTGTATATATACATATATATATATACGGCTTTTTCATCCAAGGGCAGACAAAGTAATGGATGACTTCATAAATCAACCAGGTTCACAACACCAACTTGCTTGATAGCAAATTCTACTTCCAGAGCAATGGAAGGTTTGCTTTTCTAAATGGGTATTTCTATGTTGAAAACTGATAGAGTTCAAAAATAATTCTCAAGAAAGAACAGTTACTATAATCTACAAACTAGGTTATCAAAATTGGTCAATGATCTCCAAAGATAGAGACCGAATGAATGCCTTTGCTGATTGCAGGACCAATCATGTTCTATCAATACTGATTATCCTGTAGTTTCCCTGACTTGTTTCAATTTGTTGTTGAGAGGAAAGTGGCAGCATTACAGCTGCTCTATCACTCAGAACATTTTTTTTTTTTAAGAGGGTTGGGGAGAGGAGGCTCACTGATGCTGAAGTCCATACCTAGCTTTTAAAAATGAAGTTTTATAAAAGTAAATCAATGTTGTTTTTCCATTTCAGGTAAGAAATAACTATTTGTCTCAATAAATCAGCCACTACTTTTAAAGCTCTCAAAAGTATGCTTATGAAGTTTTATTCAATCTTATTTATTAAATGTTTAAAGAAGTTGTTTTTCCCCTTAGATAACCTACTGGTTACTGACACTGAAAAAGTCATCTAAAATAAGTTTGTAAGCCATTTTATGTTGAAATTTTGAAAGACTTCTACAGAGAATGCCTAAAATGTATTCGGCATTTGGTTTTATAGTAATCATGACCATTTCTCCTTGCTCACAATTTAAAGCTAGAGATGAGGAAAATAACAGGTTGAAATGCTTCAGAAGGGGAGTCCTCGTCCTGGACATAAACAAATAGGAACACGGCACTTTTTCGGAGAGGAGCATGAGGATAATGTCCCCTCCCCGTCAGTCTAGAGAGTAGAAGGCAACTGCAAACCAACACTCATTCCTAAACAGTGCTTACCACCTTTCTCCCTGTCACCCCTTCTACTTCCAGACGCTGGCTTCAAGGCCTCCATGCTCTTTCTAGGACTCAGCCCACAACCCAGTTCTTCCCTACATTCACCATCCTCCTCCAAGCTTACCTGACTCAGGTGACTGATGAACACACACTCTTATGGTTTGTTAAGGAATGGTAATCCATTTTTGATTGGTTATGGGTACTATTTCAATCTTTTATTTATTCAAACTTTTATGTTTTGTTCACTCTAAGAAATTATTTACCAACAGAAAATAGTAACAAAATAAAACAAATTACAAAACTCAAAGATTAAAGAAATCAAAATCAATTCATTAAGAGGGATTCAAAGAACAATAATTGCATTTTTCACAAGATTAGACCAATGGGCAGTGCTGTACTATAGCCCCTATAAATTTAGGAAATAGACAAACTTTATTAATTTTTTAAAAGCTACTATGACCCTAGATCTCTGAGGTGCCTGTTTCCCACTAAAAAATGGGAGACATGATAATATTTCCCTTATTTACCTTGTGGAGCTCAAGTAAGGATAAAGTAAAATCATCTATGTGAAGTGCTGTGAACAGTGAAGATACACAATTATTATTGTTATAGGTGTTGGTTATCATTATTATTATTATTTCGTCATCATAGATATCTCTAAGCACCAAAAAAAAAAGTTACAGGTATAGTACAAATACATTATATTCTTGATTGCAATTTTTCCTCAAATGCAAACATACTTAAAAGAGTTATTTCTTAGATTGAATCTTTTTACAGTAATTGGCATACATTTTGAATTATTGAATGATTCCTCAGATCTTCTGTTAATTTGCAAAATCAAGTTCTCTCTCTCCTTTTTGGGCTAGAGAGCTTCCACAGCCTCTGTTACAGATGAAGAATCTGTTACTGGGAGAGGTAAAGTAGGTGTACTTAATTAGTTCCCCTCCTTATCTCTAAGGGACATATAAAGCAAGAAAGTGAGAAAGAAAGAAACAACCATAAAACAAAAAATAAATGGTAGACAGCAGGCTTAGTAGCCTAAAAGAAGACTTTCTTTAGCACCTACAAGTAAAGAAAAAGGGTACAAAAAATGATGGCAGAGATTCAAGAAGATGGTGTAAGTTTCCTTTACAGTTAATCTAGGATTAATTCTACTTTAGGAAGAAACTAAATGTGGACCTCCCTAGTGGAGCAGAGGTTAGCGACTGAGGACTAACAAGCTATCACCTGTCACTGTGGCTCGAGTTCAATCTCCTGGCCAGGGAATTGACCCATATGGTGCAGCAGAACTCTCCTGAACCTCCTTAGCAGTGCATTTCAGTGAGTCCACCTGTTCTGCTCCCCCACTCTGTCCCAGGTGAATGCTCTCACTCTCTTGTACCTCTGGCCTACACCCCAGTTCTTGTAATGCATTTTATAGAAGAAATTAAATATTTTAGAGTTGGGTCAAGAAATGTGAAGAAATTTGGGTAGGAAGTAAAATATTATGGAGATTTAAACTCTTGCAAAAGAATCAGTTTTTCAGAATTCAGTTTTTCAGTTTTTCAGTTCTTGCAAAGAACACAGCAGACTAGGTATTTCTGCTCTGTAACTGTTCAAAATGAGATGAAGTAAAACACAGATTTGGTTAACTATTAACAACTGACCACTGAAGTGTTTCTAGAACCATACCGAATGTAAACTCCTGAAAGGGCCTCCCTCATCATGGATAATTGCTGAGATATAGTCACCTATTTACACCTAAGAGTCATTTCCTGGTTTTAGAATCCTCACTGCAAGAGATTTCTTCTGATGTTGAAATAGACAAGGATTCCAACACTGGGACATTAAGCTTTAGTGCCAGGGTGTCCTAGTGGGAACTCAGTGTAGAGACAATCTGACTTTTGCCTTTTCACAGGAATATCTGAAATGATTACGTGTGGTAAAGCCAAGAAAAGGAAACTTAATTGGCAGAATGTATTTAAAAAGGAGCAGCAATAGAATTCTATAGTGGCTTAGGAGAGGAGCAAACGGTTCTCTATTTTCTAAATAATTATTCCATCCTTCTCTGCCTGCTTTCCTTTCATTTATGAGACTACAGATTAATGATTTGTTCCATCAGTTGAAATGCAGTGCCGTAGGGTATGGGTGTCTACAAGGAAGTGGGAATGTGGCACAAACACTTCTTGGGATTTAAAGGGCTTTGAACTCTTTGCATTAAAGCCAAGGTTCCATCTTGCAAATAAAATTGCCTGCTTTACAAGATGAATGAAAATCTAGGAAAAGTACACAGCTTTTGAAAACGAAAACCTTTCCCTGCATGCCACATTCACCCTGTTGTGTTCTAATGCCAATGGCAGTTAATTCAGTGGGAAGTGCCGGGCTACTGTTTTTCTTCTTTCTCTCTCTTTGGCACCCTAGGATCCCAATAAATTTGGAGTGGAGCGGTCTGAATTGAAATGTACTGATGCTGATATTTTCTCCCGCAATTGCTAGAGCTTTATCTAAGAAAATTAAATACATGACGGAGACAGAGAAAACTTAATTCAAGGAAATAAAAAGCTAAGGACAATTCTGAAAAAAAAAAAAAAACATTTATACATGAATCAATACCAAGGATGATCTACTATGTTTCTCATATGGTTATCTATATGTAAAACAGCATTTTCCCCCTATCAAAGGACTACAGTTATATTTGGTGGAATTAAATATAGGTGAAGAACTAAAAGCAGGCTTCACATACCCATGTTTTCCTTTGATAAGGCATCATCTGAACAAACATTGTCAAAAGCGGATTTTAAAACAGCTTTCCTAGAAAAAAAAGACAGATTAGTTTTGAAAGATCAATTGTGTATATTTAAATCACCATTCATGTATATTCATTAGTAATTGCTGTGAAGGAATATGTATTTCTTATCTTGGGGTACTTATTATTGGTTGTTTCATAAAGTAGTAGGCAGCATGATATCATGAAAAACCAAAAGGGAATAAACTGATTTAAGTTCTACACCTAGTGAAAAGCACTAACAACCCACCAAGTATATTACATGGACTTTCTCATGTAGCACTTACCCAAAAAAATCTACTAAGTAATTGTCACTCTTATTTTATAAAGAAACCAAGGCTCTGGTAAATTAGAAATTTGGACAACAGAGAGAAATGGTTGATCATAACAAAAGTAAACTTTAACAGACTAAAAATTCCATGCTTTTTTTCATTACACTCTTTCTTACGTAGTCAGAAAACATGTTTTCAAATGATTTTCCCCCTAACCGTAAGATCTTGAAAAAGCCACTTAACTTCTCTAGGCCACATATTCTTCATCTTTTAATTGGAGATAATTATGATACAACCCCTGCCAATTTGATGGAGTTACTGTGAAGTGTAACTGAGATAAGACAGTGGAAGTCCCTTTTAAAATTTTAATTATTCACCTTTTGAAAAAGTACAAAGAAGAAGAGAAGGACTTTGTATTAGGGTCAATCTTTGTCTTTGAATAGGAATCCTTTTAACCCAGAACAAATCACCATTGATTAAAAAAAATAAAGTGCACAGAAGGTTCAGTGATAAACATTAAACTTGTCATCAGTGGCTTATTAGTTCAGTATGAAGTATAAACTTCATACAATTTTTAAACTAGAAACCTGCTTTTCATCTGATCACATGATACTAACCTTTGATAGTTCTGGTTCAATATATTTGTATACACTGAATCTTCTCCATAGTTCTAACACTACTACCTATCACTATTAATTCTTTTGGCAACTTTAAACATAATATTTCCTAGATGAGCAAAATCTTTAAAATGTTCCTTAATAATGAATTCATATATTTAAATTTTATCATAAACTTTAATTTAAAAATACATACCTTTTCCTTTTTCTAAATATGGGCTTTCTCTTTTCAGTATTATTTCTAGAAACCTGCATCTATAAAACAAGAACAAAAAAGCTGAATTAGTTCACAAGGGACTGAATGAGCTCAGTATAATAATGGGTGCTATGTAGGCTGAGGAATTTAGTCCAGAGGAGAAACTCTGGCCCCTAACCCTAAGCAACTATAACTCTAAGTCACCCACTTCACAGTAACTGCAACTGCAGTTATCTGCACAACCTGAAATGGTACACTGATCCAGTATAAATCCCCTATCTTTGTGGCCCCTTCTTCAAACTTTCAACCTTTCCTCAAGTTTTCTCAAAATCCTATGTGAAAACAACTTCAAAGTTTTAATACATATATGACCTTTAAAGAAAGGAAAAGAAATATTCAGATGCCAGAAACACAGAAAGATATATAGATGGGAACTAACATAGTGAAGCCCATAAGGAATTTGTACTGGAGTAAGACCTTGCAAGGGTCTGTGGTTTTTAATGTCTGAGAAAAGACAAGACAATGATATTAAAAAACCAAAGCCTTCATACATTGCTGGTGGAAATGTAAAATGGTAGCATCTTGAAATGTTAAATATAGATTAACCATGATTCAGCAATGAAAACATTTGACCCCATAGAAATAGTGCATGAATATTCATAATGTTAGTCACACTAACAAGAAAACAGAAGCAACTCAAATGTCCATCAGTAGGTAGATTACTTATTATATGATATGTGGTATATAAACAATGGATTATTATTTAGCCTTTAAAAATAATGAAGTACTGAAACAAATTGCAACAGATGAATATTGAAACCATTATGATGTATTAAAGCAAAAAATTGAAGCAAAAAAAGTCAGAAATAAAAAACATGAATGATCCATTTATCTGAAATGTCCAAAAAATCCAAATCTGAAGTAGAGACAGAAGTAGATTTGTCATTGCCAGAGGTTGGAGGGAGGCAAGAAGTGGGCATTGATTTCTAATGGATATGGGCTTTCATTTTGGGGTCATGAAAAAATGTTCTAAAATTAGTGGCAAATTCACATATTACATATGTAAATAAACTAAAAACAACTGAATTATACACTGTAAAAAAGTGACTTACTTGATATCTTTCTCTATAAGTCTAATATTTTTAAGAATTACTTAAAAATGTTAATAATAAGGAAATTGGATTAACACAAATACCATAATAAAAAATGGATGTCACTGTTGTAGATTTAGACATTTTAAAAAATTATAAACTTAATCCTCAGTGTCTAAGACTGAACCTTAATGTAACTACCAAAGGTTAACTTCTTTTATTTCATTTCTTCTTAATTTAATCTGCTAAAGTCAGTAATTTCTGGGACCACTTCTGAAGGTCTTTAATTGTTTCACTAACCTTGATTTTAATCATCCTGAATCAAGCATCGAAACTACAAGGGTAGGTAAAATTTTTTCAATATTGTAAATATTTAGCAGCTAACAGAGTGCTATTCACATCGTACATTCAAAAGCATTAACTATAATGGGAAGAAGGCTGCATTTAATAACACTCAAAGCATTATCAAACAGCTTAAATACCTTAATAATCATTCAAGGAAGGTTGCATAAAAACACTCAGGGAATTCATATTATTATGGTGTAACGACTAAGTGGTCCTCTTTTCGTGTTCTTTCACCCTCAATGTAATGTCAAAATATTTTTCAGCACTGTATTTGTGTGTGGTATATGAAAATATGATATATAACATACATGTAAAGTACACAGACATACTGTAGTCTAAATCATTGACTTCCATCTGTAGAGACAATGTAAAGTAAATGTTTTATCTTATTATTTAAGTTAAGCTTCAGTTACATGCATACTTGAATATGAAGTAAAAAGGCTCTGAAAGGAAGTAAGATGACAGTAAAAAAATTACAGGTATTCATAGAAATAAATATTTTGAAAATAGCTACTATAAACTCAGGAGATTTATGTTAGAGACAATTAGTTGCTTTCCTACTTTGTTTAATATTCCATAGAGGCTAAAATGAACTTGTCAATATTTGCCAAAATGTCCTGTGCTCCAAGACTTTGGTTAAGTAAGATGTGATGAAGAATTTGGAATGACAGGATTGGGATTTGAATGCAAACTCTGTTACTTACTAGCTGTATGACTATCAGTAAGTCAATTAACAACTCTATTAATCTACTAGAGATTGGTATAAAGTGATCCTTAATAAAATATTTTATTACTAAATGGCTATACTGCATTTTGGGATTTTTTTTTTATTATTATTATCAAGTCATTTCGGAGTTTAAGTAACATGCCAAAAAGTATCAACCATGCTTGACAAGAATAATACATCAGTGGTTTTGCTGACATCAAATCACTGGGTTTTTTTAAAAAGATTTATTTATTTATACATACAAGAACTAGGGCCGGCCCTCCCTGATGGCGCAGCGGGTTAAAACACAGCACTAGGAAGCTTAAGCCACTTCCGCATGTATTCGATTCCCGCCTTCCCTGGAGGAGATCCACATGGCGCGGCAGACCTCTCCTGACCTGCCCGCTGTTCCCCTCAGCAGTGTACTTCGTCGATCTGCCTGTTCTGCTCCCCACTCTGTCTCTGGTGAATCCTCTCACCCTCCGCATCTCTGGCCTGTACCCCAGTTCTATATGAATAAATAAACAAATCTTTAAAAAAAAGAACAACAACAACTAGGGCCACTGACTAGAATGGCAGATGGTAAATTTCTTTAATTGTAAAGGACAGAAATACCTTAAAAATTGTGTTTATATCAGATTTATATAATCAACATAAAAATGACTTGACACTGCCCATTTCTTCAAGTCACAATTCATATAAATGAAAATGTTTTTATTTTTAAGCAGAAGAATAAGCTTGTTTGCTGTGGTAAGTACAAAATTCTGTTTGGCCTTTTTATGCTCATAGAAAATATAACTAATGTTTTGTAACTTCTTTTGAGATTGTCAGTCAACAATCACAAAAGCGCTGCCTACTTTGACAGAATTTCCAAAAACTTCTATGCCTTGAATAATGTACACAAATTATGCATCAAAACTTCTCAGACAGAGGGAAAAACCAGTATTTTCATTTCCCTTTGGAAATCTCTTGGGAAAATATCTTGAAGTAAAGATGAAAATTAGTTTCATGCAGCACTGTAAATAATGGTTATTACTTAATGTAAATATTTGGAGAGTACAAATAATTAAGTTAAATATTTGGGCCTAGATAATGACTGCTTTTAACAGTTCTTTGAAAAAAGGAATGGTTGAAAATAATAATTTTCTAGCTCTATATTAAATATGATTTGATCAGAGAGGATAAAAATGTAGTGTTTCTTGCATAAATGTCAATTGACTACCACATGTGCCAGTCTAGTCATAGTTGAATAGAGTTTAGTATTTCTGTGAAATTTAGACAATGTCAGAGATTAGTCTTTGGCAATATGAGGTCTACATATTTTGTCCCCTGTACTATCTTTCAGCCATTGTAAGTTTACAATAAAGCATTGGATTTCTCTGCTTTGTGGGGTTTACCTGAAAAAAACAACAATAAAAAACCCAATAGACTGGCCCTCCCTGGTGGCGCAGCAGGTTAAAGCACAGCACTGAGAATCTGGAGCCGTTTCCACATGAGTTCGATTCCCGCCTGCCCCAGATGTGACCACATGGCGTGGCAGACTTCTCCTGACCCGCCCGCTGCTCCCCTCAGCAGTGTACTTCATCGATCTGCCTGTTCTGCTCTCCATTCTGTCTCTGGTGAGTCCTCTCACTGCCCCTGAGCCTCTGGTCTGTACCCCAGTACTGTATGCACAAATAAATAAATCTTAAAAAAAAAACAATAGTGTGTGTATTCTAGCCGTGAGCTCAGTCAAGGAAAGTATTGTCCCTAAAAACAGAAGTCGACCACTGGACCACCATAAATATAAGACATGAATGACGTTCTTTATAACCTTCCAATCCTGGTTGACGGTAAGTTATAGCACACTTCAAGGAACTCTATGGTCATGTACTTCATTTTTAGTCTTGTACTTAATTGTTTAGCTGTCCCACGGATAGAATACAGAAATTAAGGAGGGATTTTTAATAGCATACATTTCACTTATATTCATACATAGCTTAAGACTATTACTAGGGCTAATTGAAACAAGTGTCCAAGGAAGGAAAAACACCACAAAAAGCAGAATTTATGGCACAGTTTAGCTGTTAGAAAATCCAAGTCTACTGGCAGCATTTCCTATTTGTACATGTTCTTCTAAAGTCACTGGTATTTAGCAAGACTGTTGGGAAAAGATGAAGCCTCTAAGGAAGACTTTCTAATATCCACAAATTTTGATTATTCCAAAAATTTGATGTTCCTAGAACATTTAATGGTGACTTTTTTTTGGATAAAGAATGAATGCTGAGCATTTCATTATGTGGTTTACCAATTTTATTTCCACTTACTTGAATAGTAAGTACAACTAGCCTGATTCTTCAACCTACAGATTACTATCAAATGTTCTAAGCATTTATCTTAAACATAATGCAAAGATCGCTATTCTATACAGGACTAGGCAGACACTACACAGCAGCACAATTCAAAAAATACTATTCTTTTAAAAATTTCACCTGGATTCAAATCTTTATCAGCTAAGATGATTTCTGAAAAAGAGAACATTTTGCATTTAGATTCATGGAAGGACATAGAATATACACTTCCCTTTGCTTTATGTGGGTGCTTTTCCCAGTATGTGTGATAGTAAAGATGTAAGATGTCTACCTAATGCACACATTTCACAAAATATCAAATTATTTTTTGGAAAAAGTGAAGATATTTAATATAAAACACAAAATAAAGATTAATAGCACCTCAGAGTCATTATAATTTAAAAGAATTAAAAAATAATAATCTACCTTTGATATAAATGGAAAGTCAAAAGACTTATAGGCAGAAACCGAATGTTGATAAACTTTATAGATGAATTTTAATATGTTACTTAATTTCCACTTGCATTGTGTTTTTTTTCCAATGATAAAATCTTCCCTTTGCAAACAGAAAAGCAGTAGTTATCAGT